ACTGGGCACTTGCAAATTCTATATTAAACTCATTATATCTAAATTATTTGCTTTTCAAAATTATTTAACTATTGCGATAGATTAGATACGGAATCAAACCATTAGAGCTAGTCAAATGGTGACGTACAATACAGTTAATCAGCAAATTGACCCTTTACTTAATAATCAACTATGCTGACTAGCTTTATATTTTTTGCTCTTAGTCTACCTATATTCAATGACACAAGATCAAACTTATAGGCAGACTATTTCCTACTTTAACGAATGAGATTTGCCTTTTATTCATCATACATTCATTCACTTTATTACTCGCTAACTCAGTTTTTTGACTAATTCACTCATTCACTCATGAATTCCAAACTTGCTATCTCAAATTACTAATATTATTTTCCTCCATTGATGTTGGCATACTTTTCATTTCGTTTGAAGAGGCGAGTGGAAGGGATTAGTAAGTTGGTCTCACCGGAAGCTGTAGAATGATTGCCTTGGAGCTGTGATTGTAGATTTGAGCGAATAGGTCATCGATGCACTGCTCTGCGACAGTGATGAAGCCTTGCTGAGCTTGCGTCCGTCATGTGACGGGCATCTTCAGAGCAGAACAGCATGTTTAACAGTAATTCAGCAAAAACACTAAGGTAAGAAAGGTGTCTGGCTTCAAGCCTACCTATTTCTCAGTCTAGTTTGGTTCATTTAGGCGTCTCATGTTTTGGTTGTATTCTATCTTTTGCTCAAAAGTTAAGTTAAGTGGCTGCGGATGGCATGTGAAGTGGCTGCAGATGAAGCTTAAAATTGGTGCAACTGTGACCGGACAGCTGCATCCTCCTCCAAGACACTTAAGCGTTTGATTTTGTAATGATATCGCATGTGATTGCGTTCAACTGCACGAGTGTTATGTAAATGCATTGCTCTTGAAATGAATGTGATATGATGATAAAAATCAGACTGAGCCTAATCAAGCCTACTCTTGCTTGGTGGTACTTCTCGATCCTCCCCTTTAATCCTATCCAATAGCCACAAGTAGTTTATACCTAACTTTCTACACTCATTGCTCCTATTCAGTATGACAGCTGTTATGTTGATCTTTATCGCCTTAATTTTTCGCTTACTGGTATAGTCTCCATATCCAGCTAAGCGTTTGGTATTAAACCAATCTACCTGGTGTCCTGTGCAAGCCGTGTTCGGCCAATTACGTTTTTTGGACCCACATATCTTTGCAGGCTATTTTGGGTTCAGATAATCTCTTATTTTTGGGCCTATTAGTCTCACTCACATAGGCGCTACCGCATGAATACAAAATCTTTAAGCAGCCTGGTCTGGAGAGAGGTTCATAGTATCCTAGAAAAGAAGGCAATTCACAGGAAAGTGTTATTTTATCTTTATAAATTGTCCTGATGTTCCACTTCAGTAATTCACCTATCTTCTTCGACAGATTACACGATGGCAGCATAACGATTCTGGTAGAGTGGTCTAACTTTTTATCTAGCCCCAAATCTGTATTTCCCTCCATCCTATTTGACAATATTCTAAAATACTTGTCAGCCAGTCCTCTTGGATAATTATTATCAACCAGAATTCTATTTAGTCTTCTCAATTTCTGTTCCCAATGCCTAAAATATGCCAGACGCGTCCTCCTCATTATCAGAGACTTCATTATTCTCACTTTAACCCCAAAAGCGTGGCTGGATAAGAAATACAAAAGGAATTCTGCATTTATGGACCTCCTATACATATATCAACCTAATCTGACCTCTTCTTTACTAACTAGGGCATGAAGAAAAGATGAATCACATTTATTTTCTAATTTGATGGTGAATTTCGCCTTCCCATCGACCCCGTTCATCCAACCAAGAAAAATTTCCAGGTTTTATTTGTTACATTGCCAGATAGCAAAGCGTCCATATAGCGAACTAATAACGTCAATCTATTAAGGATTCTTCGAAACCTAATTTTTTTACATTATTTTATTCCACAACTCACCTCTTTACTCACGCATAAAACAGTTTTTACATAATCTCCATTTAATTGACGTTGGCTCAAAACTTTCTCTGTCCAACCCACCTCCCTCCGAACGACCAAACCTACGGCCTATTACATGTGAAGATACAACCCTAAACTCTGATTCAACTAAATTTGGCGATCAAATCCGAACTGAAGGCAATTCCAGCTTTCTATTCACCACTGCATCTATCCCTCGCGTCTCCAAATCCCTATGGATGTCATCGAGAGGTAGTCGTAACTTGTCTTCCCAATCGTCGCTAGAAGTTGTCGAACCGAATTCTGCATCTGTATCATCCACCGTTACTTCCTCCATAACTAATGACATCGCTCCTCTACCTATCCGTCGCATTCGTCATGGTGGACAATCTCATCCACAAGATCCTCCTTCGGAACCACAGAGCTCTGCACTAGTTGAGACGCCGCAATCTGCGTTTCATCCAACTGCCCCTATGAGACTACTGCTTAAGCCAGAGCCTGTATCGCCGACTCATCTAGCAGATCGAAAATGTATTTTTTCTCTTAAATTTGCTTTATTAATCTTTTATAATCAAGCGACTCCAGATCAATTCTCATTGTTGTTCGATTTAGAGACAGGAGATTTCTTTATTAATATAGCTATTTCTTTCATATATATTCACAAATCTTAGGCAGTTTCTTTGGCCTTTTGTACATTTAGGCAAGGAGGCTTGTGTCACAAATCATAATGTAATATTATTTTAATAAATCATGACATCTCTTGAGGTGTATTTAATAACGCGATATTCCTCAATCACGCCATGGACTTCGTCGTTATTAATAGCTAAGCATTTTGCTTAATATTTTTCTTATTTTTAACTCGACGGTTAGGCAAATGATAACATATATGAGGTATATCCATCCTATTTCGTTTGGGGTTGAGTTTTCCCTTAATGATATGAATAGACCCTAAGCTTCTATGTAATTTTACAACCACCAGTCCCGCTATCATCTTGAACGAAATAGGGTGCCTTACGTATGTATATATGATCTACTGGTAATCTCAAAAGCTACTTATAAAGAGAAAATAAGTAATAAATTAGATCGTAGATATGATGACCAAGATGGTGTGGCTTTCTGCTTGATCGCAGTCTCCTTTAGCTATATAGAGTTGGTTCGACCTTGTTTTCGCAACTTGGTCGGAGCGTCAGGAAGACCTTGTGGAACGTACTTAGTCCCATGTCCTCTGCCATATTATTCGTGATTTCTAGCATTGGACAATTGACTTACGATGACGTCTCTTACTGACGATGCCGGCGAAACACTCGTGAATGTATCCAGCCACTGGTCTAATCCTGGAAATCACGAATACTATGACAGAGGATATGGGACTAGGTACACTTCACAGTGTCTCCCTGACACTCCGACCAAGTTGCGAAAATAAGGTCAAACCAACACAATAAGTAAATACAATCGATTGCTTTAGGAAATACAACTTTGCTTCATCGACAATCCCATCACACAATATGATATGGGAAAATGCCTGGCTTTCCTTGAAATTCGCATCTGCCCTATGGCCCGAGGACTCTTGCGGTAGTAACGTTGCCGTCGTGGAGAGCAAGACTAGATGAAATGCAATGGAATGAGATATACTAACTGTTGAGTTTACTTTCATTTCGAGTGAAAGTGTTGGGAGATTTGAAGGTCGGTTCCACCAGAAGACGACGGCGGATTCCTCTTGAACACCTGTCGATTGGCTTTACTGGAAGATTCATGCTGACGCTGTTTACGAGGTAATCTTCGATTCCGGTGAGAAGGTGCTAAGCTTTCGTCCGTTATATGATGGGCATCATCAGAGCGAGGTAACATCGTCACAACAGAATTCAAGCTAACGAGTCAAGAAATTTGTTGTTACGATGTTATCTCGCTCTGATGATGTCCGTCATATGACGGTCGAAAGCTTAGCACCTTTTCACCAGAATCGAAGGAGATTACCTCGGAAACAGAATCAGCATAAATCTTCCAGTAAAGCCAATCGACAGCTGGTCAAGAGGAATCTGCTGTCGACTTCTGATGAAACCGACCTTCGAATCTCTTCACCAAACACTTTCACTCGAAATGGAAGTGAGCTTAACAATTATGAAACAAGAGATTCCTCGAAACCCAACTTTTATTCGCAGATATACTAACGTCATTTTGGAAATTTCTGCTATCATTCATTTATTGCCTTATGTAACCTATGTTAACTACAACTAAGATCTATTCAATGTATATTGGTAGCTTTCAAGCCTACTTAATACGAATATAATATATTATTTAGTTCCGACGAATTCTGAAAAACGTATTAGTAACTTATAAGGATTGTTCTCTATAACCTGTATGCAGGCAACAACTTTGTTTTGCTGGAAAAAACCCTCTCGTTTTACATGGTCAATTATCCATTATTCAAACTTGCCCATAAGATGATTGGATAATGGCTAATAAGAACAATAGTCGTACCAAAGACCTAACATTCGTCTTAACGTTGAGGGAAAGATGATGTATACTACTGGTCGATTAATTCTCCATCGGAAGTAGAGATGAACATAATCGTCATCCATGCATATTTATTTGCGATTGATAAACAGCTAATACTGACAAGTTTTAAACTTATACACTTGGCTTTTTTGCTGAATTGATGCGGTGACACTGGGCTTACTTGGCCCATATAAAAAGCCTTGTATTTGGTTTATCTTCTAAGAAAAAGCGATTTTTTAAATATACCTTATATACATATATATCTTAACTTACTAATTATTTGGCTAAGAGTTTCATTCACACAACTTTACTGCTAGTTTCGAACCCTATATTATACGGGTATAGTTATTTGGAACCTTGAATTATTGCCACTTATTAATTCATTCGCAGACAAGCATATTTTCGTTGCATTTCTTTATTTCTTAATAACTTATGCTAAGGATGGCTTGCATCACCTCAGCGAGCAAACTTGACCTGGCATTATCTTCATCACATTTTTTTTAACGAAGATGTTATAAAGTTGGAATATTATCTTATCGTCCTGGTTTAAACAGAGCATACTTTTATTTTATTCAGAAAATGTGCCAATACGCCATTTAGTCTCCTAGTCATATTTTTCTCGCAATATTTATCATAGGGTGTTTTGCCATAAGCCAACTCTGGAGAATAAATGTACAGAAACATGCCCGGCATCTATATCGCTATTTTCAAACTAAATCTAGTCGACCTTGTTTTTGCAACTTGGTCATATTGGTAGGAAGACTTAGAGGAACGCACCTAGTCCGGAGTCCATTGTCTC